AATTTAAAAAAAAATCATGAATTTTCGAACAATTTCGAAAAGAGGAGCAGCTAGAACTTGGGGAAATATCATTTTTAGGTCAACAAAGGGTCCCGAACAAGAAACTACAATCAGTTTTTGGCGGCATTTTTATGTGACTTAAACTTCGTTCAGGCACACAGTTAAACCGTTCGAACGGACGAGCTAGCAGCGAAGCGCGCCGCGTACTGATCAAGCGCACAGCGGGACAAAAAAATAATATCTCCAGAATGACATATGAAAGGCAAATTTTTGAGTACATCTTATTAAACGGAAACGTTTGCCGCATATTATGACACAAGATTAATTTTTTTTCAGCGTGAAGAACACATACAAAATTTCAATTGTTTATAATAAATGTATGCAAAATTCTTTTATTTAAACAAATTAACCTTAATTAAATGATCATTATATTCTCTAAACATTTCTACAATAGTGTGTAAAATTTAATTCAATTATACAGAGTGGTCCCAGAGATTCTATTTTTTCAATTTTACCGTGCTCTAAAGTTTGACAAAATTGTCAACCTTAATAACATTATGTAAAATTTAATTCAATTATACAGAGTGGTCCCAGAGATTCTATTTTTTCAATTTTACCGTGCTCTAAAGTTTGACAAAATTGTCAACCTTAATAACATTACCAAAAAAACGAATTTTAAAACAATTTTTTTACTGTGACATATGAGTCATGCCTACTATACAATAATGTGATTATTTTCAAAATCGGTGATTTCGTGAAATTTTCTGGTCCCACTTGACGTGGTTTGACTCAACTGCTACTGCGAGGAATACACTCCGTTATGGTAAATTCGTCACTTTTCCTAGGCGAGACCATTCCGAATTGGCAGGATCGCCATGTAATATGTGAAGGGTGTTTGATGATAAAACACTACCAGTTCCCTAACTACTTTATTTACGACCGGTCATGTCTACATTATTCTATAAACGAATTAAACATTATTTTAACTAAAACTATATTACTTATTATATTATTGCTTACTAAACTAATTCTATAGGTTCGTTGTCATTTGACTGGCAGCAGGAAGTGTATTAGACTCACTATTGCAATCCAAACACATTCTTTTAGTATTTGTAAAATTAATCCATTACACTAGTTTTTTTTTTAATACTATTAATAACAGTACGAAAATCAAATAATCACCACTTAAAAAAAGGAAATAAGGGCCTAAACAATTTTATACAATAGTACTTAATTTTACCTAATTACTAATTTATGTTAAGATAAATTATCGCAGTAAGAAATTATTGCAATAAGAAATTATTACTGAGAAATTTTGCCCTAATAAATTACACTAGGCAACAGCCAAAAAAAGTTATGGTTCTTATATTTTTTTTTTCTAATGCAGCGTGATAACCTGATAACAAAAAACAAAACAAAAAATTTTTCTATGGAAGGGTTTTTTTGTTATATTTTTTTGAAATTTTGAAATTAAATTTTTCGATTTTCTCGAGGTTGTCATACTTTATTGATCATTACTTTGTAACGCAATTAACGATTTTTAAATTCAAAAAAAACAAATAAAAGCTAATGAAATGGACATTATTTTGTGTCCTAATGATTTTTTTACAAATAAGTACCATTTAGTGCGAATTTAGAGTTGAACTTAAAATAATGTAGAAGAAGTGTCAAAATCCGACGATGATTTTACATTCAATGTAGTCTAAACATATAAAAAACATGAGATCGATGTTTTTAATATTTTTTTCCATATAGAGGACTAAAAGACGAACAAAACAAGTTATCAAAATCAAAATTGGATATAAATATACATTTTTAAAAAACGCACTCTGCAGCATCCTCTGCAATTCCTACGGAAGGAATGGAAAACAAATGTATATTTTCATTTTTGAAGGGGTCATCTTGTCTAAAGATTTAAATAGGCTCATTAATTAATAAATTACAAATCGATTCACCCCTTCATGCAGTGGTTACAATCCCTAATATTTTAAATTGCATGACAAGGCAAGTGATACCTCATTTGAAAGGTTTTGTTCCCCCGAGAATTATACATATAAATTAAAAATCTATGTATTCGTTTTCAAAATATTTAAAATTGAAGATGCACTTCGGTTTATATTGAATTAAGTTAGATAATAATCTGAGTTACAGTTTGATTCACCCAGTTTAGCCCCTTTGCGGATTAAGCAGATACCTGAAAAAAGTTAATGTTTTGGTAGGTACTTAAAGGTTTTTTTTAAGAATAAAGGATAAAGTTAGGAAACAGTTCTGTGGTTAGGTAAGTTAATTTATTAAAAGTGGTTTCGACATCTGGTCTGTCTTGTACAATCATCTATATTTCCGTCTCTTAGAAGAGTCCAAATATAGTCACCCATCATAGCTTCATTCCAGTGTCCTTGGTATCGTCTTTCCATTGGTTTCATTTGTTGGTGGAAACGTTCTCCATGCTCATCGCTAAATTTACCAAAATTTTTGGGGAAGAAATCTAAATGGGAATGTAAAAAATGTATCTTTAAAGACATGTTTGCTCCAACTTTTTGAAAATTTTCCAATAAATCTTTTACGATTTTTACATAATTGGGACTCATATTATTCCCGAAAAAGTTAGAAACGAGTAATTTAAAGGATTGGTATGCTGCATTTTCGTTAGTTGTTAACAAGGTTTCAAAATGCTCATCTCTTAACAGTTTTCTTATTTGAGGGCCGTCAAAAACACCTTCTTTGATCTTCGCATCAGAAAGGTTTGGAAAAACTGTTTTTAAATGGGTGAACGATGCACTATTTTTGTCAAGTACTTTGACAAAGTTTTTTATAAGACCGAGTTTTATATGTAATGGAGGCAAAATAATATCGTCCATACTTACCAGGGGAGTATTTTTGATGTTGTGCTGGCTGTTTTTAAATGGGTGAACGATGCACTATTTTTGTCAAGTACTTTGACAAAGTTTTTTATAAGACCGAGTTTTATATGTAATGGAGGCAAAATAATATCGTCCATACTTACCAGGGGAGTATTTTTGATGTTGTGCTGGCCCGCAATAGCACAGTCTCTTTTCGGCCAGTCCTTTTTAATATAATGGTTTTTGCGATCGCGACTATAACACAGGCATAAAAAACAACAATATTTTGTATACCCAGTTTGTAGACCACATAAAAGAGCGACAACCTTAAGATCGCAACAAAATTTTCCACTTGTGGTCTTCATATTTGACGAACTCCATCAATTTCTTCATGGTATCATAGGTTTCCTTATGGTTCGTAGCATGAGCGATTGGAATGGATGGTTTTCATTTCCATTGAGCAATAGAACTGCCTTAAGACTTTCTTTGTTGCTGTCGATAAACAATCTCCATTGGTTTGGCTCATATTCCTGTACCATCTCCTCGAATAGACCTGGTATATCGTGGCAAAAACACATGCCGTCTTCCATCTTATAATACTTCGCGTATCGTAGATGTCTCTGACGAAAAATTGATACACAAACTTCATCAGTTACCATGTTTCGTTGTTTCAAGCGAGATGCAAGCAGTTCTGCTTTTTCCTTCGTCAAATTTAAATCACGAGCCAAATCGTTTAGATCATTTTGGTCAAATAGCTTTGGTGTCTTTCCAATGTAACTTTCGCTATACTCTGAGGGCGACGACGATGAAATCTCTTCTGGCAATTCCACTTCGGGATGTGTGGGGTGGTCAATGCCTTCTGTGCGGTGAACTGGAAGTGTAAAGCCATTTGATGATCTGTTCGGGTAGGTCCATCGCAAATGTTTACCAAAGCCTGTCTTCGTGATTGAGCAAAAATAGCAATCAATGACATGGCAACTAGGTTCACTCCAAATCATAGGCTTGATAAATTTCATCCGACCTTCGGAAAGACGGTTTACACATAAATTGCATAAAATGTTAGGTGCCCAAAGTTCATTAGAGTTGTTCAATTCTATTCCAAAATAGTGATGGTACGACCGCTTAATTAAATCAGTTATACTGCGTCGGTTTTTTCTGAATAACGTATATCCCACACACATAACAAAAATGGTTTGGATTGTTGTTGCACTCAAATTCTCCTCGGTTTCTCTTCGTCATTTTAATCGGGCAATCGGATCGGATGATTATACTATTATAATAAAATATCATACAGTTTAAATAGTTATACTAGGTATTATATTATACTAGGTATTATATTATAAGGTAAAATATTAATACTAATATTTTCATCTACCTTTCGCAGGACATTGACATTTTCAGGTAATTACCAAACAATTATAATTGTTTGGAGTCATGTGAGGTATCCCTTAAGCCTATTTAAATCCTTAAACAAGATTACCCTTTCAAAAATAAAAATATACTTTTGTTTTCAATTTCTTCAGTAGGAATTGCAGAGGATGCTGCAGACTGCGTTTTTTACCATTATCTTTAAAAATATATAACTCCGTCAATTTACATTTAATTTTCGATTTTGATAGCTTGTTTTGTTCGTCTTTTAGTCCTCTATATGGAAAAAAATATTAAAAAAATCGATCTCATGTTTTTTTATATGTTTAGACTACATTGAATGTAAAATCGTCGTCGGATTTTGACACTTTTTCTACATTTTTTTAAGTTTAACTCTAAATTCTCAGTAAATAGTACTTCTTTTTAAAAAAATCATGGAGACATAAAATGATGATAATTTTATTAGCATTTATTTGTTTTTTTAAATTTAAGAATCGGTCAATGCGTTACAAAGTAATGATTAATAAAGTAGGGCAACCTCGAGAAAATCGAACAATTCAATTTTTTATATTTCAAAAAATTATAACAAAAAAACCCTTCCATGGAAAAATTTCTTTTTTAGTTTTTTGTTGTCAGGATATCAAGCTGCATCAGAAAAAAAATATAAGAACTAAAACTTTTACAACAAGTTCAAATTTGTTGCCTAGTGTTATTGTCCTAGAAAATAAGATTGGTCACCATTATATAGTAGTATACACAAGTCTATATATATAATAATTATATTAATTGTAGGATATTATTAGGATAGACAGAAATACCCGATACAATAAAGACAAGTTGGTTGCTTTGAAGCAAGAGGAAACATCTTTAAAAATTCTATTAAAAAATGATGAAAAAGTAATTGATAATTTAAAGCATGTTATGGAAGTAGTGGATAAACTTATGGATCCATCTCAAGGATTTTCAATGAAACAAATTATTATGATATTTCGAGATTTACAGGTAAATTAAAAAGATTTATTTATTATTATATTGTAAACTGTTGTTTTAGGAAGAATACTATGAAGAATATCATCGTTATGAACTGGGTGAGTTAGCACCAGGTCTAATAGGTCCCCTATTAACTTCAGCAATGGCAAATTGGAATCCCTTAACTCATTCTCAGCAATTTTTGGAAGTATTTGATCAGTGGCAAGAGCTATTGGAAGGACCTAAACAACAAAAAGGGTGTTTTGAACCTAATGTTACTGGAGTAAAACCATATGATAGTCTTATTTGGCATACCTGGATGCCTGTTGTAAGAAGTGCAATCAGGTAACAATATTTTTAATTAGATACCAACTTTAAGTATATTGAATAATGGTAATCAAATCAGTTATAAAAGTTGATCCATCTAATGGTTTCTTTTCAAAATTAATAATAATAATAATAATTTATTTATTGCCCAACGTTCCTACCCCCGTCCGTTCCTGCACAAATCATTCAGTTGGCTTCTGGGAAGTAAGTAAGTAAGAGCACTTTTGTATATATAATTTGTATATACACTAGCAAATCGGTTTTTTATTTTTAAATCCACTCAATAAACTGAATAAAAATATGATCAAAATTTCCAGCAATAACTAATATTTATACTTCCGCAGAAATTCATGCCGCAAGTGTAAATCGCAATCTGAACGCAATCTCATTTAAATAATTGCGTTGACATTGAAAGCAATCAAAACGCAATTTGACTAAAATAATTGCGGTCAATAATATCTCTGTTCATGGCCATTTATTGTCATAAATTTTATTTTAAAATATATCAATAATAATTATTATGAAGCAGCGGCATAAATGAATAAATATTTTTATTTGAAAGAACTAACCTACGTACGTAGGCTAACATGCATTAATGTATTAATAATAATAAATATAATCATATTTAATTAAACAAATCGCTTCATTTATATCGATGACTTTCTGCCTAAGTATCGCAAGCAACATAACTGAAATTTCGGGAATTGAAAACATTTTTTGTTTTAAAGTCTGTTTTAAATTAAATATAGCCTAAAAGTTTTATAACACGTAAATAGCTTATAATTATAGCTATTTACTTGTTATGAAACCTATAGGTTATATTGGTTTAAAACAGAGTTTAAAACAAAAAATGAAAACATGTTGCTTGCGATACTTTGGCAGAAAGTCATCGATATAAATGAAGCGATTTGTTTAATTAAATATGATTATATTTATTATTATTAATACATTAATGTACAAATACCGTACCTTCATTTGCAAGCTATACATAGGGAAAATACATTGTAGGTGGAACAGACAAGTCGAAGTCGCGCCGGTCAGCGCGAAGCGAAAATGTTCCCAGAAATTATTTTGACGAGTCGATGAGTAGACTAACATGCGACGTAACAGGTGACCTTGTTTACTGGCGATTAAAATTTTATTACGTCCTAATAATTTCTAAGAACTTTTTCGCTTTGCGCTGACTTCGACTTGTCTGGTCCACCTACAATGTATTTTCCCTATGAATAGCTTGCAAATGAAGGTACGGTATGTTAGCCTACGTACGTAGGTTAGTTCTTTCAAATAAAAATATTTATCCATTTATGCCGCTGCTTCATAATAATTGTTATTGATATATTTTAAAATAAAATTTATGACAATAAAATTTTCAATTCCCGAAATTTAAGTTATGTTGCTTGCGATACTTTGGCAGAAAGTCATCGATATGTCGACGGTGGCGTGTCCCCGCAGCAGAAGCCTCCCAGTCCCGGCGCCTCGGGTTGGCGTTTTTCAATGCCAAGAGCTTTTAAAAAAATTAAAAAAATATATACGATTATTACACTATTCAACATTTGACGACCTTGCTGCAAGAAGGATGCAGCTCCAATTTTTGCAGCTTGTGGGCCCATTTTAGGCTACAAAATGTTCTCTATGGTTTGGTGCAAAATCGACGCAGATCCAAATAACAGTTATGCCTCAACAAGAAATAAGCCACTTGGCGATTGGAGCAAGAAAGACGTAGGTCCAGGAGCTACATCTGTCTTACCCAAACGCGTATCAGTGGAGGATTGTGGAGTTTGGGTATACCGATTTATCAGTCAGTAGACATGGAACCCACACCAAACTTAATTTAAATTGAAGTTTGCGAAAAAAAGTTAGTTTTTCAGCGCGCCTCACCAGCCCCCTGTCACCCCTAATTAAGATTATTCAAATTAAAGTGGTGCAATTTATAATTCACTAAATTTTATCGTTAGATTTTAAAATTTATTCAAAAAATGTAAGAATAACAGATTTCATACCATTAAACTTTTATTATTCTTTTAACAAAAATTTAAGAATAAATCATTAAAGGTTACCCTTAAAAAATGGAAATATGACAACGTAATGCTATAAATATAATCATATTACTAGAAAAAATATGTAATAAATAAACTGAAAAATGTTTCTAGAATGATTTATTTTTTTATATTTTTATAATAATGTTTTTTATTTTTGAAATTAAATATAAATTATAATTTTAAATTAAAATTTTCCAGCGCGCTGTGCAATAAGGAGGTATTTTCGGTAAATAAATCAGAATTATGTGCTTTGTATTTAATTTTTTTACAAGAGTTTTGTTTATTTCTCTTAAAGTAAGAACTTTTGTTAGGTAGACTAAAAATTGCATATTCATTGAAATAAAAATTCAGAACATTTTTTTTCGTTTTCAGAATGTATATTTTTGGAGCTGCATCCTTCTTGCAGCAAGGTCGTCATTTGTTTATCAAATTTGCAGAAAGATTTTTTGTGTATACTGTACAGGGCTCCCACACCTCCTAAAATTCATAAAATTCCTAAAATTTGGCTTAAATCCTAAAAACTCCTAAAATTCTCCTAAAATTGCCATTAATCTCCTAAAACTCTTAAAAATTAAATATAAGTAGGCCAACTTGACCTCGTTTAATTAAGGTAGTTGTGCTAAAAAATTTCTTTTTTAAAAAGTAATTTAAAAATATATAAATTTTTGGGTTCTAGTTTATTAATTTTTTTTAAAAATGATATAGGTATCACAACCTACATTTTTCTTAAAAAACAACAAAATATACCATAAAACAAAATCCATGTAGTAGCTTCTAGACTTCTACAAAATTGCCATATTTCGTTAATTTTCGACAAAAATATACCGTGTTATATATCAAACAAAAGGATTTTTAATTTTCTTTTAAATGATAGCTAAAATAGTAAACAATCTAAAGAATGTTTTGCTGTATCATGCACTTTATATTTTTTCTATTATGAGATTTTTTAGTAACAATTACATTACAATTATTGTTAGTTATTAACTAAACTGTTAAATTTTTTTTTCAAAATATAAATATAACATCATTTAACTTTGGCCTACTTTTTTAGCCATATCTATTGACGCTTTTTTTTTAATAAAATTAAAGGTGTGGTGAAATTTCTACTTGTGTATATACCTACCTCAGATATATACAAAAGTAGTAATTTTCCTCACTTTTCATTTTATTAAAAAAAACTCGTCGAGCGATTTGGCTAAAAAACTAGTCAATATAACCTATTTGTACAAAAGAAATGATATTTATTTATATTTTTGTTAAAAAGAATTAATTATTTTTTTCTTATTTTTTATGTAGGTATAGTGTATAACTCTATAGAGTTTTTATTTAATTAAATAAATTAAAGTAGTAATTTTCCTCACTTTTCATTTTATTAAAAAAAACTCGTCGAGCGATTTGGCTAAAAAACTAGTCAATATAACCTATTTGTACAAAAGAAATGATATTTATTTATATTTTTGTTAAAAAGAATTATTTATTTTTTTCTTATTTTTTATGTATAGTGTAGAGTTTTTATTTAATTAAATAAATTCATTTGCATACTTCATTTCTCCTAAAATTCTCCAAAAAACCTCCTAAATTCCTAAATAAAATTTGTAATTTAACCGTGGGAGCCCTGACTGTATAACATATGTATAACATAAAACACGCATATACGTGTAATAACTATGGTAATCTATATATAGATGCCGAACAGAGCAGCATTTACCGTTTAAACCTATATTTAGAAATGATTTATTTTATTGTTTCGACCTTTACTTGATGAAACTCCATATCACTACTATATAACTGGATAATTACAAAAACTGTTTCACGAATTTATTTAAATTTTATTTGACAATTGTTTCGCTAACACTGTAGCTTCTTCAGAAATGATTTCAAACTTTATCTAATAACGAATATAACACAATTATTGCAGGTAATGGGTGAATCTTTTATTAATAAAAAAACAAATTCAACGTATGCTAACCATTTAATTCAAGAAACCCATTCATTTTATAATATTTCAAAATTTTGCATGTTGAAAATAAGGGTACGAAGTTAAATTTACTGGAATCTTTGTAAATTAATAAATTTAAAAAATCCGATATTATTCTTAATGATCAAATAGAAACTAATAATTCCCCCCTGTTAAGTTTATTCTAATATTATACAGTGTATAAGATAGAAAATCCCCAAAATTATTTTATTACAACTTTTGTTATACTTCGACAGGTAAAATAATTATACAGTACTAATATTTTATAAAAAAAAACCATTACCTGCAATAATTGTGTTATTTTAAGTTCGTTATTAGATAAAGTTTGAAATCATTTCTGAAGAAGCTACAGTGTTAGCATAACAATTGTCAAATAAAATTTAAATAAATTCGTGAAACTCAAAAACAGTGTTTGTTTTTTATCCAGTTATATATTAGAAAGGATTTCTTTATTCATCCACTTAGAGTTACCCCGATTCTCGAGGATTGTAGAGCTCGAATTGTTAAAATTGTCAAAATTAAAATCCAACTAAAATAGTGCAATGTTTGACCCTAAAAAACTGTAGGTAAACTAACTTTACTTGAAAAGTTTAGGCCATGCACAAATTAATACCTATTTTAAACTTTAAATTGAAACCTTCAAAATATAAACAAGTTTTGTTACCAAAGGGTCTTTGCACGAAGGTTGAGTAATTTATGAGAACTGCCAATGCGACTAAAAATGTTAAATTTGCGAGAAAAAGGGGGAACTAAAATTATTTTTTTATTAAAATATGTAATTTCTTTTTATCTTTAAATTTGCTTTTCCAACGTGTTACTATGAGGCGCCGCACTATGTCGTAAACAGAGTGATTAGGTGACCAAAAATATTTTTGTTGAAAAACAAATTGAAAATGCTTTTTTCTTATACAAAAAGATAATTTTTAATAAATTTAACCATTAGTTAGGATTAAAAGAAGCTAAGTACAGTGAACCACGTAAGATAACCCATATGCCTATCT